GGTTTCAGACACCAAGCCTAGCCACAGGATCCGGCATCGATGGGCCAGCCCTAGGAAAATGGGCGCCTGCGGTTGATCCTCCAGGCGGGAGGAGGTAGAGGTTCACGGAAATGCTGTTAGGCCAGTCGCGAGGAAGGGACCATGGATATTTGCGTGCTACCTTGTGATATGAGAAAGCGCTCATGGCAAGATGTTGCGAGAGTTTGCAGCTTGTCAACCGGCAGCTCGCTTCAGCGCTAGACACTTGAGGTAGTCGGAGATGGGGCAGCAGGGCAGCCGACCTGATGCCAATGTGGGGGCCCTGGGATGTGGGATGTGCCGTGTTGGTCTTTTTAGGGAAGGACTTCATTTGAACGACCAAACCCAACGGGGGCGAAACCTAAGTTTCAATTTTCAGGCTGGCTTCCCTCTAAAAACATCGAGGGCATTTTCAGGCCTGGGTTTTGGAGGCATGGATTGTATAACTTTTATACCACCAGAACAAGCTTATATGGCAGTATATACCCCATTTACTGTTTCCTGCAGCCAGTGGTGCGACCGTGGCTCCCGTCCCACCATCAGGCTGTCACCGAACTGCCCCAGAGTCCTGGTGCGGGGCCCAGCCACGACGCTGGTGATTGACAGTGCCGATCAGAACTGCCCTGCAAAACGGAAGGAACGAGATTCCTTCAAGATGCTTTACTGCTTTCATGGTTTTTGGGGCGCAGGAGATACTCCTGTAATCCTCGTTGACATTAAACCGGGGTGGTGAATCAGGCACCATCCGCTGTGAGAGTTTCCCACTTCGGCGAGCCCTTTGAAGTTGGCTTTTCTCGGGGTGTCCACCAGAAGAGCACCAGCCATAAGACCAATTCCTGTCCAAAACCAGGCCACCAGCCACAAGACCCCTTCCGCATTCCTTTCAAAAATAGGGCGCTTGTATCAGAAGCCCCCTGAGACCCCCTTACTCGTTAACTCAACAGGAGCTGGGCGCCGGCTGGATCTCGAGCTTCAAGAGCTGAAGCTTGGCTTCAAGAGCTGAAGCTGCTGCGCTAAGGGAATGAGACATGGAATGACCCTCTTTAAACCTTCCAGCTGGCGGTGTTTTTTGTTTTAGGGTGAAATTCTGGGTGCAGGCCTTTTCGATCCCGGATCGGTTGATGAATGTCTTCTCTTGGTGCGAGAAGTGGGGAATGAGACGTGGAATGACTTCCAAAACACCCATCCAACGGGTGGTTTCCCCTAAGGGCACCAATTCCTGGGGTCGTTCCATTTCTCACCCCCTACTTATCGCACCAGCAAGTTGTTTTTTTTCATGGAGGTAATAGATTCTGACCCAGTGGCTCCCAGCTTAAAGGGGAGTTTTCTTGGTACCTGCTAGACAGGTAGCATTTGACCCAGGTTCTTTGGTTGAGTATTCCAAGTTATTGGCACGGAAGCGTACCGCATCTAGGCCTTGCATAGCTCATGAGCAAAAACCAAATGCAGTAGAGAAACCTTCGGATTTTGTCCATCCATGGGGAGGACCTCCACATCAGACCCTTGACCCCAGGGCCAGGTTGAATTGCATGGGGAGTGGAAGACGCTTTTTTCGAGGACCGATGGGGAGCTGTCCTCACAAAAGCGGCGCGAGCGGTCGGAGCGGACCGACCGGCCACCCTCCAGCGGGAAGCTCCCAACCACACCGAAGCCGCCCATCGCGAGGCCTCCTTCCTCCCAAGGCCGGGGCCTTTTTTTACGGGAAGTTGAGTAAGGCTCACGTGCCCAAAGCGCATCGACCTTTTGACCTTCGCTTTTCCCCATTTTGGCCCGCTTTAGTATAGGTCCCAAGAGGTGAAGCGGTTTTTGCCAGATTAAATCTGGGCAAGTGAGAAGGGAACCCGGATCAATGATATTGGTTGCCCCTGATTAAACCACCCGCTCTTTCTTAGTGGAAGCTCCCAGGACTGAAGAGGACTTTCCTTTTTTTAACGGAATGCCTGGTGGCTGTGTGCAAGGGCCACGCTCACGTTGCCAAATCGGGTTTCACATAGTGGGATTCACCTCCTGTGGTTCCAGATGCGCCAATCCAACGGGAGCGACGTAAGTACGCCGGCGATGCGTTCGGAACAGTTGAACCATGTTGCTATCGGCTCCAGTTGACTCCCTATGGCATTTGCTCGCCCTGACACAGGTCAGACCCCAATTCTCCATGTGGAACGTTGAAGCTTTTGCCCGCAAAAAGTTGGGCGGAGATGTGGCATACCCATATGGTTGCTTCAGCCGCGCACCTTGTCCAGCCTCTCTGAATCGACATTTGTAGGGCCCCTTCAAAAACACATGGGGTCTCAGTTAGAAGTTCACTTTTCCAGAGGATTTACAGGATCCCCTTGCTTTGGGTGGCTTTGGGCTGTATCCTTTAAGGACTCCTTGTCTCCGTGCCAGCCAAATTTGCAAATTTCTAGTTCCCGGTGAATGGGCATGCGATTTTGCCACGCCAAAATGTGAACTGTGGCCTCGGCCCCTGAGCACCAGAGCACGCAGTCCACTCAGTCCGAGAATCGCGACGTGTTTTGCTTCGCACCCATCTAGCACCTTGCAGCCCTTAGTGACTCCCTTCCAGATTGCAGAAGCCTATGTTCAGATGCTAATTCATTTCGCTTGTTAGAGATGTAAAGCCATCTAAATCCAAGACCCTTCTAGTCCCAGTTCTCTGTTCAATTTAACGGTGGTCCCTTTCAAGGGCGTCCACGATGTGATGCCTTCAGGTTCTCGCTCACGTGGGCTTGGCCCTCGGGGCCAAGAATGAGTGCGGTGGTTGCAGCATATTCCGGCAAGTACCAGAAACCCTGCTGAGCAATCTGCTGAGTAAGGTTATGTGAGGTTGGTGAAAGCAACACACATTTGTACCGTCCATGGTCTTCAAGGGGTCCCTGGACCCAGAAAAAGATGCTTGTTGTTCGGAGGGTGTATGTTTGCCGGGGTCCCTTAATTGGTGGTTTGGATTGGCGTCAACTGGGGGTTTGAAATCCCAGCTCCTGTTGAGGCATGGGGAAGGTTCCCGCTACGGTCCAAACCACCAAAAACAAACTCCAACCCAACTAGGGGTAAGGTGGTGTTTCGGCGGAGGTTGTCCGCTAGACGGTGTTTGTTATTCTGTGTGGGGCCATCAAATATCAGTGGACTCTGAAATTGCAAGTGAGGCACGTCCAACCAGGAACCTGAAAAGGCCATTTAGAGCTGATGCAGATGGTTCTCAACTTGTTCCGCTCTTGCGCAGTAAACGCAAATCAAAGACATGCGACATCCCTGCAAGCTCATTGTGCCCATGGCCGCTGCGAGAGCATTGGCTCCCCAAGGCAGCAGCTGGTGTTCAATAAGTCGGGCCAGCTCCGGCGCACTGCGGCCCATGGCTTGGAGGGTTTGGAGGGTTTGGAGGGTGCCAGGTGAAGCTCAAATTTGGTTGTTTACAGGGGCTCAAGCTAGCCGGAAGCTCCCGCAATAGGTCTCTGTAAATGGAACCGGGTGTTCCAAAAGGGTTGGGGGCTTCCATAGAATCGCCTGGGGAAGGGTACTTGCTTTGGGGTACACACCGAGAAAAGATGAAGGATTGGCCCCCTTCCGATGCCACTCAATTTTCCCCACGATCGGTGCAGCGGATTCAAGTTACTGAAGCGCAGACAGTTTCCTTTTCTCGACCCATGAGGCACCCCTCAATTGGTGGTTTGGAGATTTGACCTGGCTTCTGTAGAGGGCAAAGGGAAGCCGCCGAGGAATACCTAACCACACCACCCAAGCTGAACCCAAGTCGAAGCCCTCTGAGGAAAGAGCCGACTCGCCGAAGGGTCTGCCTGCCACACGCCCAGTGGCCACGTGAATGGCTGGGGTTGGTTTTGTGGGGTCTCATCCATTTGGGCTGGGCAACACCTTTTGGTTGGTTGTGCAGGGAAAACACAAGAAAACAAACCATTTTAGGGATCCCTGGAAACAAGACACACCCCATTTCAACAAGTGTAAGGCGGATTTTTGTCCATCGCAAGGGGTTCCCAGCTTGGGATGAACTTTTGGGTCCGGTATTCGTTGGTCTACCGACCGATTTCTCATGGCAGGGCTTGTCAAGCATTGAAGCTGTTGTACCACTTGTAGCCCCAAGATTCATGCCCATGCTGGCATAGCCTTCATACCTCCAAGTCAAACCTCCGGCCTCGTGTTAGGGCGCCCCCCCATGGTTTCAGCGGGCCCGGAGACTTTGAGGTCGCTATTGACGAGGACCCGGCCACTCGACCAGGCCAGCACTCCTTGCCCTCCCATGATTCCATGTGGCAGGGCTTATGGCCCTAGGGTGAAACAGGGCGAGCAAAATTGTGGCGATTTTTGCCGGTATCCAATCCAAGTACCCTTATGTGGCCATGATTTTTACTGGCTAACCCCCTCAAAAGTGATTGGTGGACATGAGTACCAAAGGGTCTAACTCGGTTTCCTGGAGCAGTTCCCCGGCCGAAGTTGATTCAGGGCAGGGGACTTCCGTGCGCCCGCTGAAGTCCGGCCTTTTCAGGGTTTGGCGTTGGCCCCTTTCCACCCGAAGCAGCATTGGTCAGGGAAACCAACTAGCAGGGATACAGGGGGAGCCAGGGATACGGGAGGATTCCCCCTAAATGCACCTTGACTAAGTTGGATATGGGAAATTGCGCCAAGGGAATCCCCCCATATCCCCGCTCCCTCCGTATCCCCGCTTGTTGGTTTGTCCACATTGGACTCTCCACAGTGGTTTTCTCCGTTGGAAGGTTTGGATCTACCGGTCGTCGCTTCCAGGCACCGCGGCCTCCCTGGTCTCTGTCAATGCCGCCTGTGCCTCGTGATCGCTGGAACATGCGCGGCTTTCTCCAGGGTGTCCCTATCGGATCGAAGCTCGCCGGTCTGAGAAGCTCCTTTGGATGACGCTTCAGGAGAAGGCACGAGGAAAGCCACCGGGTTTGTGGGCCACTTCTTTGGAACCACCCGCATGCTAGACGTCGGACACCCCATGCCCATGCCAAAGCTCCATGTCGAGCGAGGCATACCGACGAGACCCACACCGCTACAGGCGGAGGGACTGGGAGGAAACCAACTTGGAGCCACCGGAGTTTGAGTGGAGAAAAGACATGGATCCACCATCTTCTTGGTCTTGTTGTTGTTTGTTAGGGGTCCCCCTTGAAAGTTTGTAGTTGCTTTTGGAATGGCCAACCCTTCGTGTTGAACCGCTCAGACAAAAGACAATTGCTGGTTCACTCATGTATATGGGAAGCTTGGCTTCTTTTCTTCAGCCAATTTGTTGCTTCGTTCGTTTCGCAGGGTGGAGCTCCCGGGGCAGATGCCCGACATCCATCAAGGTGACCCGTGCGGCCCCCAGGTTTCGTTGCACCTGTTGAAGCGGTTTGCCCTGGTCCAAGTCTCCTTGGTCAAAAGGAGCTCGGTGAAGAAGTGGCAAGGGGTAAGGGCTTGGCCTCACCGTTTCGTTTTGGAAATAACCTGGTTTTGGTTGATGTTTTCTGTGACCCACCCCCTTGGTTTGGCCAACAGATGCCCCGCGGCCTTGTGGTTTGGCGCAATTTGCAGGTTCGCTTGAGCCTTGCTTGGCTCAAGTGAACTGAACTTCTTCCAGTCATTTCGTGCCTTTCTGAAAATGAGTTTGATCCGTTTCCTTTTGGTTTCGTGTTGGGTTTCGAATTTCGGGTCGCCTCAAGGTCCCCGCCGGCCTCACAGCCGGCGTCGCTGACCTTGCGAGTGAGGCTCCGGGGTTCAGCTGGGAACCGGTCGACCCGACCCCAGATCTGAGATGATCCAAGTGGAACCGTCCTAATGCGATTCATGTGGGGGCGGTTGCCTCAAGTGAATTTCCACGAATCCCAAAACCACCCCTTCTATCAAGAACCTGGGTCGATTTGTGCGGGGTTCACGCTTCTACAGATGGGCCATATACCCAGCCAACACAGGATTTCCAGTAGAGCTGGTTTCTTAAAAACTGAACATGGCTGGGTATGATTGTGGAACTCACTTGCCCAAAGCGAATCGACCCTTTGACCTTTTGGCTTACTCTACCTTTCCTGTTTGGGCCCTTTGGGCGACTGAGGGAAGCTTGGCGTTGTTGGCGGGGTTACTTCCTGTGATAAACGGCTCCCCTTTGGCGTGATGAAGTGGTCATGGGGATGTGCTGCTTTGGTATCACAAGGGAGTTGTGATTGTCCACAACCATGCTGGCTTCTTAAAAGATACAGTTTGGCCGTTTAAGACATTGCAGTTTCCTAGCACGGGCCCCATTGAGGGGATGTAACCTTGGCAAAAGCCGAAAGCCCACTAAGTATTCCACTACTGATTAGTCATGGCGCTAGGGATCCCACTTTGGTATCGCATGACACCTCCTTGTTATTGAGGTAAATAACTGATGTTTTCAAGGGCAAACCCACAACCCCACCAACTAACCTTCCATGGTGGCTTGCGGCTTGAAGCCCTGGGTCTTGTACAGGGTAAATGGGAATTTTAGTGCAAACCACTTGGGCATGAATTTTGATGGGGGGTCAGCTCAAAGGTGAGTGTTTGCATGAACACCCGCCCAAGTGATGTCAAAGGGCGCGGGACCCAATTCGAGGGAAGCCGGGCCAACGCGACAGGCCCGGGACGTCGCAGAACCAGATGCGTCTAGGCGGAACACCGCCGCTGCCTACTGCCAAGGCAGGTGGGCGCTCGGACGGTCGTTTGGCCGGAAAGCGGTGCACCTGCGGAATATCCAAGTTGTTTTCTAGGAGCTTTAGGAGGCAATGCCTGTTGGAAGAACCCTGGGAGGAGCGACTCCTGTCAGATGTCAGGTGATGTGGGTGGCACATGGTTTTTGTTTGCTATCAGTGCTCGCTGCTCCCAGGATTTGAAACCTGAAAGGATTGACATGGAACGAGTTGAGCAGGGCCACTTGCACGCAAATCTGAGCCCGCCAATTGTGCCTCGCTCAAGCGCACCCTTGGGACACCAGAAGGCCCCCCCTCAACTTGGGTCCGCCATTTGGAGACAGACCTATTTTCAAGGATTTCATTGCGTGGACTCTTTGCGAGGCTTTGAACGGTTTGCTCCCCTGATTGACGCAAGTCCCCAGGAGAGGAACGCCCACCTCCCGAGACTTAAACGGTCCCCACTCGAATCTAAGCGATCCCCGAAACCGGGTGTTCCCCATTCCAACAAAGAAGGTTACCCGGTTACCCTCGAGCAAAGACACACCCATGCCCCTGTGCCTTTTGCAAGTTGCGCGCGATGTTTCACCCCGAACCTTCGCTTGAGTCCTGAATGAATGGATCGAATCCCTCCCCTCAACCTATTGATCCCGATCCCGGGTTTCGTCCAGGTGCCTGGCATCCCCGAAACATCTCCGAAGCTAAGCCAGGGAAGCTTTCGAGGCCCCGCTTGGGGGAGGTCTGAAGTTATTGATCCCAAGTGGATCTGCAGGCGATGCGGCCTTCGAGCTCCGGAGGAGATCCGGCGTGCCAGCCCCAGTGCCCGCGCATGACCCCTCAAAGGTGAGGGTACCCTTGCTTGGGTGGCTTTGAAGGGAAACCAATAGGAAGACTTGCTTGTTTTAGGGGGGAAGGGTCCCCTAAACAACGACACACCCAAATATCGCCTTTCCCGGCTGATTTAGAGATCTCCTTTCTGAAGCAGGTGGTTTTTGGACGTATCCTTTGAGGGACCTTGTTCAAAGGGAAGCGATGGAGAAAACACGTTTTTGAGATTCCCCCATTTGGAGACCATGAGAGTAACCTCGAAGAAATGTAGATGGCCCCTAACCAGACTGGTACCCCAAACAAAGCCACGCCCAAGAACGCCTTGCCATAGGTAGGCACTTGCGCAAACACTGTGCTTTTGATTCTTTACCACAGGTCTCGGGTAGACCCCTTCGGTTATAGTCACGGATTTTGACGATTACTCAGCTTTGCGATTTCTGATGTAATCACATGGGAGGCTTCCCTAAAAGGAGACACCTCCAAAACAGACACAGCAACCTGAAAGGGACCTGAAAGGACCATCTCCCGCAAGGGGGGGTTCTCGTGGCCCCTCCTCGTTTGTTCCTGGGAAGCACGTACTTACGGTGGATGCCCTTAGTAAACCAACCACTCTACCACAAAACCATTTTACGGATCAGCTGGTTTCCTTATTCCCTTACTTTGCGATAGGGCATCCACCGCACGGACTGAGACCTGCACCCGATCCCAGTTGAGGGCTTCCATCCAACCCAAGGGTTCCAAGGGGCCTCTGTTTTGAAGGAACATGGGGAACGCTTTTTTCTCTTTTAGGCGGCTTCCGCCCTATGAGGTGCCATGTTTGATGGGAGGGTGCTTTCCAACAAGGGGGCGGGGTTCTCAATGGCCTTGAGAGTCTCCCATCGCACTGAGGCTTCAGCCCTTGCCCTTCTCGGTAACTTTGAAGGGGGCAGGACTGCGGGGGACCTGTTGGTTTCAGGCTCGGTGCCATTTTGAGTTGGCCCTTTTTGAGGGTTCCCCTTTTTTGGGTTGGGTTTGAAGGGAAACATAGGGAAACCCAAAGAAGCCGAGGGAGCGTTTCTGAGATTCCAAGTTACCTGGACCTTCGTCCTCCTGAAAACAAAACGTAGTTTCCGCCTTTGACTGGATATTCGTTAAATCGTAACACTTTTTGCCGCAAAAACCCGAAACTCCTAAAACTCCTAAAAAGCACACTTTTGCAATGCTCTCGGCCTTTGACACATTAAAGGAAGCTTTGCAAAGGTGAACAGCTTGATGCAGCCCGCAAGTTTGTCAAAACATGCGATGGCTGTCCAAAGTTGTGCGGTGCAGAAAAAATACCCATTTTGATCGCACACCGCCCGCAAAATGCCCGCAAATCTCCCGCAAAAACCCACAAACTCCCGCAAATCAAACAAAAACACGTAGTTTTGATTGATCAAGGCATCCCATGGTGTTCACCGGCACGTTGGCAAGTGCTGCGAGGTGTATTTACTTTGTATGGCCAACGCGCGACTGGAAACGACGCACAGCGTATCTGTAATTGCCCCAATTGTAGCCAAACCACTGGAATTCGGGCCCAGAAATTTCTCCCGGAGTTAGGTCCAGGTAGTTGCTAGGAAGCAAACCACTCTTTGAGAATTGGTTTTGGCAAACTTGGGGCCGAAGCCCTGGGGCTTCCTTTGGAAGCCGAGGCCTTGTGCCGTTCCCCGTGTTTTTTTGGGGAGGGATGTGCCAATGGAAACAGCAGAGGAGCCGAAGAACTTCTTCTCAGGGCGATTTGTTCAAAGCCAAGGGGAAATCGAAGCCTGTCCTGGGGGTTGCCTGGCTTTCATTTGGAACCCAAACGGAACTCCAAGCCTTTGGGTTTCCCATTGCTTTGGTTTGTTTATATTAGATATGGAAACCGGCTTGGATTCAACGGAAGCCAAAGGACATGTCATGGCGAGCTCATGTGCGGGAGTGGGGGGGCCCTCGTTTGTTTTTGTCGAGAGGGTACCCTTTTCAGGTTGGTCCAAAAAGGAACCTGCAATTTGGGGGCAGTATTTATATAGATTTCTGGAGAGTGGGGTGTGCTGGGGGGTATATTTTTCCTCGTGAATGGGGCCTGTACTTTGAGCTTGTAGGCCATGATCATGAGACACCCATTTGCGGAGAGCGACATTTGCCGAGCACACGGTCAGGACACCGGCGGCAGTCGCCAGGCGCTCCTGCGGGATTGGTTGGAGTCAAGTGGTTCGTGATCCAGTGCTGTCAGTGACCATAGTAGGTACTGAGGGCTGGCAACTGGAGGTAAGAAGCCCTAGCCGCCGCCTGCCAAATATGGTATGCAGCGGGAAGCACTGGGTGGCCCCCAGTTTTTCAGTTCATCCACACTTCGGTCCCTGCAAGCTCTTGCGACGCAGGTTGCCCAAGCAGATTGCCGGCTGTCGCCAGGAAATCTGGGGGATAGCTCCGTTGGCCGGCGCTACAGCGATAGAGACGAGCAAGGAGCGGGCTCTTCAAGTCTGGAATCCGTGCGTTCATCGGCTGGGAAAGTAACGTAGTTTTAGGTTTCTGCTCTTTGGGAAAGCCTTGGGTCCACGTTTCAAGATAGTGAGGAGGCAATGCTGGACCCGCTTTCGTATCACCCCCCACCCCCCACCCCCCGAACAAATCCAACATTCATTTGGAGCCTCGTTAGTCGAAAATAGGGCGTTGCCAATGCTTAATTTGGAGCCGCCAGCATTGCCAAGATTTTGTCGCAGATTGCTCATGTTTTTGTTTTTTCAGTGTTGCCAAGGCTTTCCGAAACAGTCAGATTAAGCGGATGAGGGACTTTTTTGGGGCACCCCTTTTTGTGAGTATTTGGCCTTGCTTTTGCAAGCCATGTTTTAGCTAACGTAGGATGGTTCGGGGCGGGGGGCCGCGTCAAACACAGGAATTCGGTCCAATGCCCTTCCAAGGCGCGCCCAGGATCCTGAATTAGGAAAGCAAGTGTCGATATTCATTTGGGCGCGGGGTGTCTTTTGTGTTTGGCAAACTTAGTAAGTTGTTGGTAGGTTCTTACCTAATTACAAGTCACCCGAAGTGGAGTTTGCCTTGTGTTTGGAGGGTTAGAACCCAGGTCGCCAACCACTTGCCATCTTGGCTGGGTTTCCAAGTGCCCTCCGATCGATTGGTTCAGTGGAAGATGTCCAGTGAAAGCCACCCCCATCTGTGGGATCCCAGGACGTCGCGGGATCCGATGGGTTGAGGATGTCGCTCTGCCCTCAGCTGGCCATGGGCTTGCCGACCGGACTCTCGGCATGAGAGCCCGAGCGTGCGCAAAATTCAGACTTGTGCACTGCAGGTAGGCAATCTGGTGCACCAAGAAGCCGTGAAATGAAAAAAGGCCGGAGTTCCAGACTCGTATCATGATCAGAACTCGGCGGCTTTGTAGTTGTTTTTGCACGCAGAGGGAGGCTCTGGAGCCCGGAAGGCTTACAACCAGCAAGCCGAAGGCCCCTTGAAATGTGCTTTCTCCGGGTCGACTTGTGTGACTTTTCCCATGTTGGCCATGGTCCTCCAGAAGCTGGGCTCTCGGCCTAGGCCCGGCACTACCGCATCGCAGGAAGCGCCCGGCGCTGAATGACAGGCTGTGAGCTTCGGTCAAAAACTCACCGGTCGTCCATGGTCCATAACACAGAAATTTTGGGGACACACTAAAAAATTCAACCATAAGGGGACTCAGCCATTACTTTAACCTTGGCTCGTGTGATTCCTTTTTTGGAGTCACCTGCCAAAAACAACAACTACAGGGACCTTCGGAACCTTCGACACAAACCCAGCTCTGACATGGTGTGCCCTCTCTCTCCGTTGCCAGTCTCATTCGGATCCTCCCACTCCCATGTTGGTCATGTTAACATGACTCACAGCGAATCGACATTGTAACTTGGTGGCTCCCAGCCATCCCCTTATCTTTTTAGCCTTGTAGTGTTTAGTGGAAGCTTCCATTTAACCTACTAAAAGTTAGACTTTCAGCGGGGGATCTGAGGGCAGCCCAGTCAATTTTCACCTTTTGGTGTGCTTATGGGGGCTTTCCTTGTTGAAGGCACCATTTTGCCCAACACGCGAGCAACATCCGGCAGCAATCCAGACCGCAAAAACCATGGCACCGCCCTTTGTGATGTTTTATCGGGTGTTTATTTCAACAAGACGCAGGTTATGCTTTGTCAATAAGAATGGATAACCCAAAGTTGTTTTGCCTTTTGAAACTTAAACCCAATCTTCCAATGGAGGTCCCGGCCTCTCCAACGGAGGGTCCTTTCTGATGCATTGGGCGGGGAAAGAAGTCCTGTGAAACGGCATCCTCCACCTTTGGGGGAACCATCTACCATCTTTCAGGGTGGATTCGGGGTCAACATTTGGGTGCGTCCCAAACTGGGGAAACCCTGCTTGGAAAGGCTTGCAGGGGACCAAGAGGAAGCCAGCCATTCTTGTGGGACGCCTAATTTTAGACAAATAATTCCTTCACTGTTCGTTGGTTTGTCTATTTGGTGTTTGGCTGCCAAACAACACATTGTTTTCTTGCTACCGTACCAAGGAGGAAGTAATCCATGTCCGAGCAGTTGGATCAGCCCAGGTGATGCCCTCGTGTCACGCGGGTATGGAAATTAGGCATGCCAGCCGCGCGACCGTGGATCAGGACAGAGATTTAGCGCCGAGATGCTCAAAATATATTCAGGCAACCCTTGCCGGGTTGTCCTAGTATGTTGTTGGTGGTTCTGAACATCGGTGGGCACCTTTTTCGTTGCTTTGCTGAGTCAAGACCCTCCTGGACGCAACGGCAGAGAGAGAGAGAGAGCGAGCCCTTAGCTGGTGGATTGAACCCCTTTCGAGGGTAAACGGGCAACCACCGTCCAACCCCCAAACCACGAACCAAACGAGGGAAGCTGAAAATATATGGGAATCGGTCCCCGTGGCAACGGTTTCCTTTTGGTTTCCAAAAGGGCAGGCGCAGTTTGAGAACGCTGTTGCAACTTTCGGTCCACCTGCCCCGCAACTGCCTGCCTCCCATGGCCCGTGTGCAGTTGTTGTGGGGAGGGGGGGTGGTTTCATGCTGGCTCAAAGTAAGGCCTGTACTTTTTGTTTTGTCTCCTTCATATTATGACCATGGTAGTTACGACCAAAGGTCTGTGTTCCCGAACGCATACGCAGGGGGAGCGAAGTAACGTGAAAACACGCCTCTCGTATCCCTGTGGAAGCGGCACCCATTCGCGGCAGAGAACGCTTAGCACGGGCCACTGTAGCAAAGCCCACCTTTTTGGGTCCCAACAAAAACAAGGGGAACCGTCGGAGGCAAAAACCATGCCCCGATTGCAGCTGTCCTTTCGTTGAGATGTGCCCAAGATCAATGGGACGAGACCAGGAGACCTTTCAAGCCATGGAGACGTGAGCTTTGAAGCGACGAGCCGTGAGCCAAACACCACAGAACCGGTTGCAACATAGACTCTATGACACACTATGTCCACCATGCGACCGCCCTCCCTCCCCCCAATCCCAAAAAGAGAGAGAGAGAGAGAGAGAAAAGAAAACACAGTAGCGTGCCCAGTGCGTTTCTGTGTCAGAGCGCTTGGGGCTGGGATGGAACCTTTAATGTTCAACGAGCTTAAAAACATTGTGACAAGGATTCCGCAGCACGGAGACCATGACAGCATTACAAGATGTTTGCTACTGCCCCCAAACCATCTGGGCATGGTCCATTTGGGAGGAGGAACGTGGGGGATCTTGAGTTCCCACAAAGCACTTTGAGGAACCCTGCTTCGGGGGTGAAATGCGGCAAAGTTCCGGGCAGGACGCCTCCTCCGAGACGCGGAGCGCTCAGTTGGGAGGAATTCGACCGAAGGACCCTACTTCTCATCAGACCCCGCATGTGGAGTGAAAGAGAGAGGCCAAAGAAGGCCACTCATTTTGAGCATAGTATGGCATACTTTCCGCCTTTGTGGAAGATCTGGTTTTCCCATCGCCTGAATCCGGTCTAAATCAAAATACGCGGCATGGAAGGGATGGGCAAACTCCTGGATTTGGGGTCTGCTTTGGCAATGGCTCGAAATGATGCGACCCCCCTTCACATGCCACCAGATGTTACGGGTTCCGACCATGATTTCATTCCGTGGTGCGAAATGGACTTGGGGGGTCAATCTTGTGCCAGGTTTGTGGTGAAGCTGCGCTACAAGAACAAGAGCTTCCAGGGGAAGAATGAGGAGTCCAGGTGGCGAAACAACACCGCCCGGCCCTCACGCCCTCACACATGGTGACTGCGGGCAGAGATCCCTTGTGCGTGGGTGGGTGGGTGCGGGAAAGTGCAAAAGGGGTGACAAAACCAGAATGCGGGAAAGGGGGTGCTATCTACTTGCGCCTGCTTGTAGTGCTTGAAAGTGGCCTTGCGGAACACTTGGCGCACATCCGAATTCGGCTTAGGGTTGTCAAACATATGGCGCCTGTTTGGACCCTGGTGCCTGCGTGCCGGCTGAAGGGGATACCAAAAAGGGCCCCCATATTTTGACCGCCTGGCCCGAAAGGGAGAGTCGGTGCTTTGTTGCCGACCTTGCGACTCAGGAACTCATCCTGAACATGCCTCAGACCAACGGAATAGCACGCCTCATCGATGTCCTGGAGGAAGCTTGTGAATGGGTCATGTGCAAACTCGCGTGCGATTGCGAGCGGCGCGAGGAAAAGTGATCTGCAGTTGGTCGCCGATGTCTGGCCAGGACACCAAGGCGTATTACGTCATCATGGAGCGAGCCGGAGGCGTGAGCCACAGGTTTGGCACCCGCAGGCTTCGCCTTGTGCAAACTTTGGCGCCAGTCAATTAAAAGACAAGTGGCACTCGGGTCATGGCAAAATGAGGCCCTTTCTTTTCGGACTTAGATGGTAAGGGAGTGAGCTAAGTGGTTGGCTTGGCAGGGCAAAACCTACCGAGAACCTACTGTCATCCCTTCCTCGGGCTACCAACTGTTCAGCTAGCCCACCAAAGGGGCAGTTCCAGCCAGGACGCTGTGCACCAATGTAGTTTGAGGAAACAGCGGGGTTGACATGGCGGTTTGGTCCTTGATGCGACCAAATCGCCCCTTCGACTTTTGGCAACCAATGGCTTTTCCATAAAACCCACAAAAGCTCCAACGAGCTTTTGCTCGTTCGGGCTTGGAGCAACTCAGTCAGACGTGGACATGTGCTGAGGCTGTGATTTGTACGAGTGCCTCTCCGGAGCAAAGGGCTTAGAGTTGCTCTTTGCGTGTCGTCCACACGCGAAGTGCACATGACGTCATGCCAGCTGAAGCCTGACTAGAGCATGCTTAAAACCTGCCCCACCTGAAAACCCGCCTGAAGGACCACCCACACGTCCCGGAAGAGTCACTTGAAGTTCCAAGAAACGCACCTCGATACCTGAACACCGACCAAAACGGAAAGGCAGCACCCGCCCTGAACGCACCCCCTCAAGCCACGACCCAACATCGACCAAAAGACAACACCCGAAGCCCGTGAAAATGGAATTGAACTCTACTTGCACACCAAGTCAAGCAACATCAACAGCAAGTCGAAGAAGCCTTTAAAACATCTTGACAAGCAGATACCCTTTTCAAACCACGTAAACACCTTCAAAACCACATGAAATGGCTTGAAAGCCCCTTGAAAAACCGCCAAAACACCCCAGCTGAGCGCCAGTCCAAGCTTGCGGGTAAGGCACCGGAGCGGCGGCTGCCTGCCAGCGAAGCCCGGGAGGTGCTCAAGGAGCTCCTGGCGGCGCCTTGGAGAATTGGCCCCTACTGCGGGTGCCTTGTTCCCTTTCCCTTTTCACGCTCAGCTTTCCAAGGCGGATCGGCCTTTGAAGGCTTTGGTTCTTACTCGTGAAACTTTCTTTGGCGACCTGCAGCCAGTATTGGATCGCCACGTTGCGTTCGCTTTTTTTCCCAGACACTTTACCCTGAGAACAGTCACAGTTGCTGGGAAGAAGATTCGATTCGATTCCCCTGTACATACCAACGGTGGATGGGCGAACTCCCTTTCGCACCACCGAAAAAAAAATGGAATGATTCGGCCCCATGATGATTCCCCCTGGAGTACATATTTCAAAGTCCATTGCGCACCTTTCAATAACCTCGGAATGATTCGAGTTCCCTGCAAATACCAATGAACCACCATGATGATCCCCTTGGAGTAAATACCAGCGAACCACGGCTTCCCATAGTTTCCAAGTGGTGCGAACGGCTGTCGTCCCGTCTCAAGCGCATCTACCAGATCTGACCCGATCTGGTTTCCTGTTGTGGGTTCCATTTTTGGTCATGGCCCCAAAAGGTTAGCCGTTGTTTTTTCTTCCCGGGTCCTTGGGGCAAGTGAGAACTGATTTCCTTGAAAAGAATGGCAACTTGGCAACTTGAGACTCAACTTAGCTGACAATTCTTGCGTAAACATCGAAAGGGGTTCCTTGCCCGCTTCAATAGTGGTTTGAACTTGGTTGTGAGCATGTTATTGGTAACCAGGCTCAGGGTTAACGTTTTGTTTGCTTATATTGCATTTGTTTGGAGGGAACCACCTCCATCACGTGAATTTGAACCCACTGAGTCAGTCAAGCACATTCTCAGGTCAGGTGGCCAGGGCCCAATGGTTCGAAACAGGCACGCTGATACGCGTATTGAGCACGCTATCGTAAGTGTATTTGATATCCAAAACCCACAGCATGGAAACCATGTCAGCATGGCAAACAAAACGGCACGGAGTATGCGCCTGTCTCCCGCCCACGTGTGTTACGGATGTTCCCCACAGTACCGGATGAACGCGACCGAAAGAACTGTCACCGCAAGCACCATCACCGAAAAGGCAGCAAAAGCCGCAGTACCAACAGAAGTCGTATTCGAAAGAAAACATCACCGAAACAAAGGCTCCTCCTTGCCCAGCGTTACTTGCAGCGTCTCTCGTGCGTATGCGCTCTGATTTGGGTGGTGTGAACGTTCATTTTGAACGTGTACTGCAAGGCCATAGCAATTCTCCCTTTCTGCTCAGAAGAAGCCCTGGATTTCTGCGCTCAGCATGTTACAACCTGCCAGATCAAGCATCATGCCGAATACGGTTTGATTATTCAAACCAGGCTATGGGGCTTGGGTTGGGGTATCAGGGCTGTGTAGGAACCCCTTTGATGGACATCATTTTGGGGATTTAGTGCATGACATGTTTTGGCAGGCCAGCACCGAGAAACTAGTGAGTCCAAAAGGTTTCATCCATCCCACCCGTCCACATGGCAGGTTGGTTGTGGCCATTGGAAAAACCTCGCTGGCCACAACCTGCAAGCATGTTGATTTGTCCTTGGTACAAATCATAGCTGAGGGTTTTGGAAGAGCGTCCTGCAAAGCCCTGAGGGTGGTGGTCCCGAGGCTTTGGCCATCAGTGTGTTGTTCATATCCGGTTGGTGCGGTTGCCGCTTCTCCATAGGGCATTGGTGGTACATACTTGTTTATAGTCAGGAGTTGTGGAGTGCAACTGCATTGGTGCATATATTCTTGGTTTGGATTCTTGGTTTGGATTGGTAGGTCAGGTGGCCTTTTGGTGGATCAGATGGGCTTTCCATGGTACGTACTTGGACCTCCCTTCGTCATTTAGCGTCATGCCTGAAAAACCGCATGGAGTAGGGGCCAACCCTTAATTTGTGTTTGTTTTCTTTCTTTTGCAGGGGGATGTCTGCTGGAGGTCCCTTTGGGGTCCAAATGCTTCAGTTTGCATGAAGCGGATGGAACCATCATGCAAAGCCTTAAGGAGAAAGCAAAACACACACGGCCTTCTGCAGTGTCCACTGGAAGCCCTGGCATTGTCAGACTCGCACTCTGAAGCCCAGGCAGTTGCGGAACTCCATTCTCATGGCTTCATCCACAAGGCTCGGTTCAGCTGTTACAGGTTTCTACTCGGAATCGCTCGTGGATTGGTAACCTTTAAAGCCTTACGGGGGATTTGCAGGGGACTGGAGGGCCCACTGGGTGTTGCAGTGTCCTATAAAGGGTTAACCGGTGGTTTTGCCTCAGATTAGCTTCGCCTCGGCGAAGCTAGCCACGCGATTCCTGGGCCATCTCAGCTGGGTTCCCTGCCCAATAGGTCCCCAAACAGGAAAGCGCGCCCGCCAAGCGGGCGTGAGAAGGTCAACCAGGTTAAGGGATTCTTCGAGCTTCTGGAACTTTGGGGGGAAGTTCTCCTGGGAAGGTGTGGAGTGCCATACTCCCTAGAAGTGGCACAAGATTACCCATGGAGCTGTGCCAAGCCTCTCCCCCCCGGCCCCTCTCTCCAAAAATGCAAACGGACCTCCCCCCCCTGCGAAAATAAAACAAGAAGCAAAAACTACTGCACCCCAAAGAACACATGGATCTGTTCAGTTTTTGCAGGTGCCCCTTTTTTTGGTTGTGGTTTCAAGGACGGCCACATCATTCTGATTTTTTGTGGGTCCCCCCTTCATCCAGACGAGCCATTCAGATCTGCAGCAACAGCCTGAGGACCTGAAGCTGGAGAATGTCATGCTCAATCGCCCAGGGCCAAAGTGCCGGGGCGCCGAGAGCCGCGAAGGACGGCCCGCGAAGGACGTCCCGCCGTGGCGAAGCACTCGCTGGTTGGCAGCTGGATGCAGCTGGTTGGGCATCCGAATTTGCGTTTGAGAGGGCAGCCATGCAAGGAGCTACCAGACCTTACGTCACCCAACCTGTCCCCTGGTTGTGCCATTTTATGCCCATCGGTGATTCTACCTGACTTCAAGTCAAGAATATGTGGCCTGCTAAGTAAGAATGAACCACAAACACATCTTGGGTGCTTTGCAGAACCAAAGATGGGTTGGGCTTGCGTCCTAGCCTGAAATAGGTAGTGCTCCTTGGGCGAGATAGAAACCAACCCCTGCAGGATTCCCAAAAGAGACTCGCCTCTCGCAACGGACCTGCGGAGTTGTTTTTTTTGCAACGGCTCCGGCTCCCCGCTAGTTTTTGGTTTTGGAGTCCTTGACATTCCTTTCTTTCGCCTGGGTGGTTTATGAAGGAGTTTGTGCATGACAAACTCCTGCACCAGTTGGTAATTAGTTTGCCCAAGTCCTAGGGCTTTCCTCCATGGCGCAGGATGTTGTCCCGCAGTATTCCTGGCGGCTTTGGCTGGGTCATTTCCAATCGGTCGCAGGTTGGGCTTTTGGTATCTCAGAGCTTCGGCCCCAAACCTTCCAAAGGTCCCGACCGCGCAATGGACCCATTGGACGTTCCAAGGGAGGTCCGATGCGACCTCTCCAATGGCTCTAAAGTGAAGCTCCCAAAGGTTGGGCCAGTCTTGGAAATTCTGCCCAAAACATGGGTTTGGCACGCACTCCCTGCAAGGTCCTTCGCACATTCGGCGGAACCTGGCGACCAGCCGGCGGCCAAACCGATCGGGAAACGTTGAATCATTGCCATCTTCTCTTTTTCGGCTCACCCGGACCATGGGTGATCATTTTTTCAGTATTTGGTCCGACCTGGGATGGGTGCCGGTGATACCAAGTTGACCTCCCCCGCGCATCCCAAAAGCCGAAATGGCCCCAGCCGAGCCTTCTGCTTGTTCAGCCCGCTCCCAGGTCCTGGCGCAGGAGTGCGGACCTTGACCCGGGTTGAGGAGTTGGGACCCAGATGCCCCTCAATTTTCGGAGAAAACCGGCAGTGAACCGGGATTTCGGCCTCTAGATGGTATTTTGATATTGTCTGGAGGCTGAGATTCCTTTAATTCCCGCCTTGTCGGAGACTTGGGTTTTAGGGATCTACTTCCTGTGATGCCCCCCACCCCCACCCCCAAAGCCTCCCAAGCTGACGAAGCAGCCACCGGGATGGCCCTGGAATCTGCTGAGGTGAAGTTGATTGACTTTGACACGGTTGAAGAGTGGCCAGGGGCCTCAGACACTGTTCATTTTCTAGGGTTCCATTTCCATTCATTGTAGGGATCCTTCTTTTAAGGAAACCATCCAAAAACCAGGGAACAGCCGGTTTTTGACAAGGTTGAAAAGAATGGGGAATCAACCCCTAGAGGTTTCCATGCTGCCATACCTTTCTTCCAGGGCTTTCCCTTGAAAGCCGACCTTTGGAGCTTTTGGTTTCCTTTTGCTGGTCCAGTTTTAGTCGGTTCTCCAAAAGGTGAAACCTTTGTTTCTGGGTCCTTGGGGAAACTGAGTTAAACAAATGTGAACATTGTTGGTTCCCGTCGGAATATCAAAAATCATATTGGTTGGTTGCTCAAACAAAGTCCAAAATGTCTACTGGTCTTTGGTTAGCTATCGCCTGGAATCTATCCCTCATGCTCCATGTAGGACGTGAAAAGGCCACATTTGGCCCTTTTGTGGTTTCGTGCAGGTGGGTGAATATGCCAGCATGGATTTTCTGAATGACTTTGCTGAATTCACAGTAGGGCATGTGGAAAAGAACCTAGGCGTCCCCTTAAAGGAATCCACAAATATCGGTTTATCAGTGTTATTCCCTCATTCCCTGGTGAGCATCAGCAAGATGGAGTGTCTGAATGGGTTCTGTCGCTGAAAATCGCTTCAGGAACTCTACGGGTCCAAAGTCCAGACACGTGCTGGGCACGGACCAGTACATTGCCCCCGAGGCTTACGAAGGCGAGATCGATGGACAGGGCTCCTGAAAAGATACATCTTGCAACCATTTGAAACATGGCTTTTTCCACCAAAATCAGGGGGAAACCACCATTGACAAGGCAACGTTCAGGTGTATAATGGAAGGATCCCTGATGGATGCTCGAGATTTAACGAACAAATCCGCGGAAGGAGCGCCAGAAAGCGAGTCCGAAGGGAGGTTCCCTGAGAAATCTCGGCCTTTTCGGGTTCCACTTGGATGGAATACGGGTTTATGGTGCCCCGGTTTTAGAGGAGCAAAGGGAAGCCACACGGACGCCAGCCCACTTTGAAGTTCCCTTATTTAGAGGAGTGCCTGAGGCAAATACTCGCCGGCCTCGGACATTTTTGCGGTTGGCGTGATCGCCTTCAAGATGCTCACAGGCACCGTGAGAGTCGCCGCTCCGCACAGCGAGTGCTTCAATTCCCTATGACTTTTGTAACAGATCTTTGGACATGTTCACTTTGTGGTTGACACTTTTGGAATTCCCGAATTGCATCCACAACAAAGTGATCACAACTTTCTGCAGAGGACTTCCAACCATGGTCCACATCATTTCCCCTTCGTTTACAAAGACATCATGTTGGACCGGTGTGGGAGCAGACCATGCGCGGTGCAGGCTCCTTCCCATACAACGGCCGGCTGTTCGATGACAAGCCTGGCGGGGAGCTCCGGAAAGAACCGTCCGAAAATAGGCTGAGACTCCTACGAGCCTTTCAGGAATCTTCCCGGGAGCCTTGGGGGTCTCCTCCACAAACATATGCCAGATTTTGAAACCCTAGGAGCTCAAAACCCTAAATATAAGGGCCTTGAACCCCCAAAGGCCTCAAGTAATGAGGTCTTGGGCACCTGGGGAAACAAACAAAGTTGTGGAACGGAGTCAGGAAGTACGAATTTCTGAATTGGAACATCCTACGCCTTTTGAAATGTGAGCCTTTGGTGTCGCCTCAGGTGAGAACTGGGTGGGTTCGCCCAAGATGAAAGAGATCAAGCAGAAGCTGTGCGACGCCAGGCCGGGCAAACCGGCCCGAACATGCGCCTGTGAGTTCAGTGAATCAGGTCCCACCTCCCAGGCTTCAAAAAGCTCTGGGATCAGTTTCAAAACGCACACGAGATTGACTGTACGCCGCTAGGGTTCAAACCACCATGCAAATCATGGGGGTTAATTTTACCTCCGTTGTTTACCTAAGAATGGTCGTCATCTAAATTGGGTCAGCCATTCTGTTAATCGGGGTTGAACCCGGTACACATTTTGTGTTTGGACCATGTTTGTGGTCTATATAAAGTTTGGAGTGAGAAAATGAGGTCTCAAGCCTTCCACGGTCCCGAGCCGACCTCTCCAATGGACAATGTAGGGCATGACAATGGATTGGACGTTGCTCCTGCATCCTGTATGACGCTGACACATGTTCAGTGGTGCTGAGAGAGGTCTAACCGAGCACGGGCATGCACATTGTAGGTTCAGCCAATCGTTGATGACAATGAGCAAATCCGCAGAACGCCCCTGTGTGCAGACAGGGGTGGACCGAGTAAGTTTTATCGCTTTGTAAGCCTCAGCTAGCCCTTGCAGAACCTGGCAATGAGGAAAGCGAAGCCATTCGCTAACTCAGGAAGGCTATGAGTTTAGCAAGCTCCCATTCCATGACTACACCAAAGACAATCCAAAGAGGGGAACTGTTGAGAGGCTCTAGTCTGTTTTTGTTTTTTGTTTTTCCCAGATTTCAAGCGAAGAGGTCCAACCATTCCCAGTGTTTTAAGATGGCAGCGGGGGCTCAGATGCCTCTCAGCTGGCGGCCGCGCAGGGTCAGCTTTAGCCACCCCGTCTTCGAAAAGGATCCGGGGGCGCAACGGCTTGTCTCCAGAATGCTGGCAGCCGGAGCCCTAGGAATCGTTGACCTGTTGGCCGGTTCGGGCGTGCGCATCCAAAGCGCCGTTTGGAAGCAAATTGAGGTTCCACAAGGCGTACACAAGGTTGATCACGACATGTTCGTTCGGGGGGGAGAGCACACCAGTGGATGGGCAGATTCCACAGGAATATCACTTTTCCTAGGACGCCCAACCACCCCCCGAAGAGAAGCAAACCGAAACCAACTATGATCGAGCACAGCCTTTTTCCAAGGGCGATGTGTTTTGGGTGGTGCGACTGGAGGGTTGCTGTGGGTGACACGGGCAACACTTATTGGAATTGGTGGGTTTCTCAAGTCAGAGGGGTTCATGCATTCCAACTGGTACTGTTTGGTGGCCCGGTTTCAGTGGTGGTCAACTATCTCTGCAGGTATTTTCAGTTGATTTCGGGAAAGTCGGATTTTGGATGGAAGCCATCGCGATTGAGAACTCTGAACCTATCCGAGGTTGAGGAGAAGGATCGACCAGATGCCCAGGAGCTGAAGCACCTGACTGCTTCCATGAGGTGACGAGTTTGGCTGTAGGCTGCCGCAACCCACGGGGTCTTCTGTGATTTTGGGCCCAAGGTGTATTGCGCCAGCAGCTTTGACGCAGAAAGCAGAGGCACGCGAAAGAGGGGCGTGGCCAGCGACAAGGAGCATCACATATATGTTAAAAAAGAGCGAGAAACCAAGAAAACAAGAAGCACACAGACCACTAGCACCAGAAGAAAACACAGAGAAGACAGCCTCATCTCTCATTTGTTGCCACTTTTTGGGACCATCCGGGGCTTGGCGGCGTCCTCTTTCGCAGCTTCCAGTCGCTCCATGGCCACCACTTCGCTGTGCTTCGGGTTGGGGGCCTGTGGGTGCTTCACCTGGCTGGCGGCCCGGCGCCCCAAGGCGGGCTCCGTGGGCCAACCGTCCCACCGGTTTCCTCGGGAACTTTCGCTGTGAACCCGACAGGAGACCAAGGGGTGGATTGCCCTCATAGGAACAACTAGGTCCCCCAGTGCCTTTTTACGCTTTTTTGGGGGAGGGTATCCCTACTAAAACAGACTGCAGAAAGAAGAGCACCCTTATTCTAACCTCTCTACTGGAGGACCTAGACAAAGCTTTTGTTTTGGCGCCCTCATCCTGGTAAAAAAGTGTTTTTTAGCACAATCACCAAAATCAAGGGCAAAAGGAAAGGAATGAACCGGAGGAAACCACCAGTTGGATGGTTTCCTTGGAACGGTCTTTCCATTTCTCATTCCCTGCCAAGAAAAAATGAATTTGGGGGAGGGGGGCGATTTCTGGAAATCCACTTGTGGTTCTATTTTCCCTTTGATTGGGAATGCCGGCATTTCTTGTTCTCTGGTTTTAAAGGTCGACCAAAAGGAAACCGCCAAGTTGGCTTGGGGGTCCAAATCCTGTAAAGGAGACAGCCCCAATTCTCCGCTTGACTCTGGTGCTTGCACAAAAGTTTTGAAGAATGGCCCTTCCCTTGGTACCCATGAATTAGTGGATGGTTTTGGGGATTTCAGGTTCCTTACAAAAGGGGGAAGGTACTCTCCTTTGAAGTGTTTTTTGCGGGTGCCTATTTTCACCAGAGCAAGGCAGACGCCTCCTCTGATCGAATACTCCCCGAAGGCCATCGAGGGCTCCGGCGGGCGGAAGATGCGGCGCCTGGTGCTGCGGGAGGCCAACGTGGACATCAGCCAGGCGAAGATCGAGGTGGAGGAAGTGGAGGTGCCGCACGACCCCGAGACGTGGTTGTTGGGGGACATTTTACGTCTTTGCTTATTGCGGTTTAGCGGTTGAAATCCAACCGAACTGCTAAAAAACATGGCCCCCGTTCCAACGTCAGCCAAGAAGACGTCGTTGCTTCCTTGCTCGCGAGTGGCTCAGGGCAGCTTTCCAGGGGTGAGTGCGTCGCTCCTGAACGCTGGGAAAACCGTCGCTTCGGAAAGCTGATTAAAAGTCGCTTCGGAACGCCGGAAAACGTACTAGTCACTTCCGAACACTAAAAAAATCACTTCAGAACACTGAGCACTCAAAACGCCGAAAGGGTTGCAAAACCCGGTCACGAAAAAAACATCACTTCCGAACGCCGGCGTCCCACCCGCTGAACTGTTTCATCCCAGCCAGGGTGTGCAAAATCCAATCAATTTGTTCTGGGGGAGGGAAAGCACACCCACGCAACTGAACCAGCCCAGCCTGCTCTGTAACCGAATGTGGATATTTGGTGGGGTGGGGTGGGGTGGGGTTGGGGGGGGGGGCATGATAAACACACCCGCTGAGCTGCTTCATCCCAGCGGGGGGGGGGGGATGATCAGCACACCTGCCCAACTGAGCTCTAGGGCAATTCTCTGCGCATGCCAAACGTCAGGCGCTGCAAGCTGCTGCGAACATGCGGTTCCCGAAGAAAACCGCAAAACAAACAGAGCTTCCGCAAACATACCCCAAACTTTGCTCTAGGTCAACAAGGGCAAGTCTCTGCACATGCCAAACGCCAGGCCCTGCAAGCTGCTATGAAAGCGCGTGGACGCATGGGTGCCGATTCTTATCCCAGCGTTCAAGAGCGAAGCACGCGCTGGTGTCTCGGTGCAGCGCGTGGCATGTGGCTGCGCATCTTCCTAAGTCCGATTTGTTCTGCATTTTCGTGGGAAACTGCTTTTTCAGGGAAGGTCATCTTATTTTTGCCTGGATGCAATTTTCCTGAGTTGTGTTTTTTGGATGTCTGCAACAAGCTGGCGGAGGATTTTGTTGTCGAACTTACGGCAAAAAGCGGAAATTCTCCACTCCGGGTTTTCTAGGTACTGTATGATGATAAGAATAGCTCAGTACATGAAAAACATCCCAGCGGGTGTTTTGCGAGATTTGGAAGGGGAGTCAAGTTGCTGAAGAATCTGCAGGTGCCTTTTTTGGAGAGGGGTTCTTCACGTTTGCCCAACACCAGCCAGCTTCACCAAGGTTGACGGTCTTGGATCACATAATTTTTCGGGAAGCCCTGTCCTGCACCGTTCTACACCTCTTTGGCATTTTTTTGCCTCTTGGCCACATGGACTGCGTTCTCCGAACTGCGTTGCGCATGAAGGCGTGGTCGAGCCGCGAAGCGGGTCAATGCAGGCTTTGCGGCTTGACACTAAGAGGCTCCGTGACAGTCCTGTGAGTACAACTCGGCAAATTGCGCGACGTGCTGTCGGCTTTTGGCTGGGCTTTCCTCGCCACGCGTATGGCTAGGTGCCAAAGGCGCCGTGGGGCCACGTCTTGGTGAAGGTGGCGGCGGCGCCGGTGAACCCCTCGGACGACGGCACCTGGAAGCTTCCGCCCTCCCAGGGCTATCCCATGGCGCTTGGCAACGAGGCGAACCGATTCGGCTCAGTGGCGAGATGTGCTTTGCCCTTGGGGGGAAAAGCTTTCAGTTGACTGACAACAGTTAAACGGGCATATGCAAAACCAATGGTACCATTTTGGGGTGGGTGCACCACCCATTTTAGTCTATTTTAGTGGAGGTTTGGATGTTCACTGGAATTACGGGATTTTGACCCACAGCCATATCATTGAATCATGTTGTGTGTGTGGGGTGCGTTCCTGGACCTTTGTCCTTCTCAAAAAGAATCTTAGTTTCCGCCTCTGGGATATTTGGCAAGTCTCAGCACTTGTTTTCGCCCAGAACAGGAAACCCCTAAAACTACTAAAAATCAACTTTTCAATGCCTACGGCCTTTGGGAGGTTATTTAGAGGAAGCGGTGCGCGGTGTCAACGACTCAATGCAACCCGCCAGTTTGTCAAAACCTGCAATGTCGATCCAAAGATGTGCGGTTTCGGGACAACAGTACCCATTTTGACCACAAAACTCCCGCACAGTCCCGCCTGTCTCCCGCAAAAACCTGCAAGCTCCCGCAAATCAGAGAAAGAGGCATCTCATGGGTTCGCTAATTCATTGGCAAGTACTGCGAGGTGTGTTGAATTTACATGGCCAATGCGCAGCTGGAAACGACAAAATTCGTATGCGCTTATGCACATATTGTAGCCAACCGGTAAATCGCAGGGCGCTCCTGAAACAGCCAGATTTTTCCCGGAGTTTGACGGTCCAGGTTGTTCAAAAAGCGACCCTGGTTTGCAACATGCTGTCTGGCCAAGATGGAGCCTGTCAATGTAACGTAGGAGATCTGGCAAGATGTGCTTCAAACACGTTGGAACATGTTTGTTGCAAAGATGTGGTTTAGCCATTGGAACGTGCGCTACCCTGCAACTTCCTGGGGTGTCTTCAGTACCCGGGGGTCGCGCCAACCCCAGGGCTCCGGCAGGGTGGTGGCCAGTGGCGGCGGCGTGGTGGCAGGCTGGTTTTTTTTTGGGGTCCGCTCCGAGGCGTCGTTTGGATTTTTGTTACTCATGTTGGGTAGTGTGACCCTTCTCTTGGCTTCCTACGAACCTCGTGTTCATTGGGAAACTACCCGCTTTCTGGGGCTTCTTGTTTCGGGGTCGAATATGAAAGAGAATCTGAACATGTGACTTTCGGTATACAGATGGGCCACGAAACACCAGGCCGTACCTGAAATGACTTCGATCGAAACCTGTGGCGGACTCGGCTGTACCCGTGCCCGAATCCTTGCTCCTTTCCAGAGGACGTTTTGCTTTTTGGGCCTTGATTTGATGCAGACTACGTGTTGTGTATGTAAAAGGGTAAATAACGCCTCGTGGACCACGTGTTTGGTATGGAAAGTCTTTATGCTGAATTGAAATTCGGGGCTACTGCTGACCTATGTAGTTTTATCTAGATGGGTTGTTCTGTGCAACTCTTAGTTATTTTTTTGCGAAGTAAGTCGGAACGCACCAAGATGACTGGCAAAAGGTGGCGGCGACGACAGAAGACTTGGTAAGACAGCCAAGGTGGCAAAGGACCAACAAACATGTCGCAAGAAACTGGCCAGAGGTTTGCTGTGCATTCAGGGCGCGCCGCAGTTGTTCGGCTCGGGTTGGAAATCGAACTCGGAATTCGGCATGGACGGCAGATCCCAGCTTCGTCCTCTTGAGCAAGGAGGACTACCTTGATGAGGCCTCAGCTCGGGGATCCCGGTGAGGTATACTCCTCCTTGCTCACGAGGACGAAGCTGTGACTCTCAACCTGGAGCCACCCAATGTGAAGAAGATCAAGCTGAGCGCCCACCAGCAAGCCATGAATGGCAGGATCCTTCATCGAAAGCGGTCGCACTGGCTGTTGCATCGGGCCTTCAAGCTAGAGCTACCCAGTTTCTAGGCCCAGCGAGGCGTGAGCGGGATGCGGCCCAAAGGCCACCTGCAGTGAGCCTCGCGGAGTGGGTCCCAGGCAATGCGCGCCTGTATTGGGCAAACCGTTCAGCCTTGACGCTGGCGTTCCCTCTGCCGATTTCCCATTCGGAAGACATCCGTCCGAAGGTGTGGATCAACAGCACCCGCTTCCAGATCGGGCCCAGCCCTACGCAACTGAGCCATGACTATGGCAAGCCCTAGCTCGTTCAGTCTTAGCCCTTGTGCCCCAGGAATTCAACAGAGGATTGTCGAAATGGGGAATCAACCCCTGGAAAACTCCTCCGCGCAAGCCGGTTGAATCAAGATCTCACTTCCGTTGGAGTGCTCGATCAAAAGCGGCCAGAGGCGTTGCCAGTTGCAGAGTGGCCCAAGTTTCCTCCAGCCATTTTGGTGTGTCGAGTTCCTAGTGGCATCCAATTGGCATTCGGGTGTTTGCTTGTTTCGCGTTGCTGAAGAAAGACCAGAAGCCTCCAAAAGCAAACATTGGTTTACGAAACCACCACCTCCGGGGTTCATTTCCTTCGGCAGATCGCCTTTGAGGCCGACTGGTGGGCCGAGAGGTGGCCTTCTTTGGCAAGTCCTTTTCCCAGTACGCGGTGGCAGACGCCATGACCTGCAGCAAGCTGCCGACAGACGTGCCGGTGGAGGATGGGTGCGCCTTCTACATCAATCCCTTCACGGTGGTTTGCATGGTGGAGGCGGGTCGGAGAATTGAAGGGAAAATAGAAGACTCCAGGGAGACTAAGAGAACACAACAAGCCTAGGGAAGAATGCAGGGAGACTGCTGAAAGATTACAGGAAGGCTACGGCGAGACCAAGAGACTAAAAGCAAGCTATAGGATGGCTACAAGAAGACTACAGGGAGAGCCCTGGGCAGTGCTGCCCTTGGGTTTAGTTTTCACAATTCCTAGATGTGCGTTTGTTTAGATTGAAGTCTTAACAAAAGACATGCCTAAGAACCGGGGCGGGCCTTGCAATACCTAGGGCTTCCATTCCGAAATAACTGCTTTGACTTCTGCGTGTTTTTTCAATTTAGCGAGCATGTTTGTTCGCAATTATGGAATCCTGGACAGTTGTTCAAACGGCGGATGTGAAATGAAACGACGGAAATTCAGCAAATGTCGGAAAGTGTTCACGCCGGATGTTCTAGGTAGAGAGTTTTCGGAGTTACTATCATCGTCCGACATCAGGGGCTTAGTGCGTATTGTTGCTTGGAAGTGTGAGAATTCAGTGCTAACAGTGCTCAGAATCCGGGGCCCGAAGCTTAGAATGTGTATGAAAGTATAGAAGTTTGAAGATTATGGTAAATCAAAAAATCGAACTCTCGGAAAAGTAGAAGTTTTAGAAAACTAAGGTCCCACCTCAGGGGTCTCGGCTGGGACCATTGTTTTTGGTATTAGGTCCGTTAGCCCTAAGGCACTTCGGACCCACCATTGCGTGCACCCAAAAAAACACAAGGGGTCCCAGCCCGAACCCACCGAGTGGGACCTTCAAACTGGGTCAACGGGTGATGCTCAAAACCACGAACAAGGGAGATGTATTGGAGGCCTGTTCGAGTCCAACTGCAAAGTGGGAAGGATAGGCGTGGTCTCAATGTTCAGTCGGGCGGTCTTTCCTTCAGAAGGGGGAATGTGAAGTGTTCATTTCAGTTGGGTCACCACGGAAACAAAGCAGCGGGGGTCATGCCATGAGGGAACATTATGCAGAATGTGAACCGGCCCTTTCCTTCCAGGCTCGCTACATGAAATTCACTTGTGAGATCTAGATTTTAGTGAGCAGCGCCAGAATGTGAGAGTTCTGACTGTGCAGATAGCTTTGCTCAGTCAGGAACAAGTAGAGTACTAGGCTGTGTCATTTGTCTCAGAGAGCTAGCTTTGAATTGGTTGCCGTAACACGGCAGTTCTTTCTAAAATTCCTTTAACTAAACTTGGGCGGGTGCTCAAAGGGGAAACATAGCTCTTGACCGTTGGACTCCAAAATTTCTCTAACATTTGCGAGGCCGTGAAGTCTCAGAAGGGGCGCGCCTTCATCCACACAGCAGCTGCCTCCCAGCTGGGGCAGATGATGGTGAAGTACTGCCAGCCACTCGGAATGCACACCAAAAAGGGGGTTCAAATCAATGGACCCCGGCATGGCTTCCGAACTGGTCTACCTCGGGGAACCCATTTGGGGTCCGTGCTGTTGAGTTTCCTAAGCCATCTTCAGGTCCCAGGGCCCCTTCTGCTGGCTGGTGTTGTTCGGTGGCCTGAGCCAAAATGTGTAGCTTTTGAAAACCCTGTTGGTTGAGCATGGGGTCACCAAGGAGTCAAGCTTAGCATGTGTTGGCCCTTGCGCACACCACCAATCAATACCCTCAAGTCTCAATCCTTCGGAAGCTAGGCTGCTTGTCTTTTTTTCGCGGCATGCGGATGCTTTCGGATGCGTCCCGTCAGAGCAGCAAAAGTCAGCCAAATCACCACAGCCCTCGCGGATCGAGCCACCAGGACGGAGAAGATGCAGCTGGTGAACCTCGTGCGTCGTAAGGAGCAGGCGCAAGCAAGTTGCAGGGAAGGAGCCTCAGGTCTTGGAGCCAAGCCACATTTCAGTTGCTTTGCTAGGTGGTCGGGTCCCAAATGCTGTTTTTGTGGCCCACTTGTTTCAACATATCAACATCAGGTATGCCTTCGCCCTGTGTAGCCTAAGCGAAGCCACAAACGAGGTCGCTTGCTCCAAGCTTGTGCTGCCAAGACATATGGTGTCCGATAGCCGTGCCTTCCTCGTTCTGGAAAAGGCCCCTTCCCTCCCAGAAATTGGGATAGCTGATTTTGAGCATTTGCAAACCCCTGACCTTCCTCCCGCACGGGCCAGTTTTTTCTTCTTCTTTTTTTCCTTTTTTTCTGAAGGGTGTGTGGCCGTATTTGGCCGCGGGCCGTATTTTCCGACAATGTCAGCCCAAAAAAGGAGGCAAATGAGCGTGTGGCCATTTTGGCCCAGCCCCGTTTGGTTCTTCTTGGTAGGTGAGTCATAGTGTTCAGTGGTTTGGTGATTTGACACATCGTACTAAATTCAATAACTTTGGAGTTTGCTTCCCAAATGTTCCCTTGGTTTGCCTTTGGTTCTTGGGAAGTCAATCGTTCCTCCCACCGAAACCCCCACGGATCCACCCGATTCCGAGTCGTCAGGCGGAGGTCTTGCGGAACCTGGGCGCGGAGTTCGTGGTGGACACCTCGCAGGCCGATTGGAAGGCCACCCTCCGGGGCCTCATCGAGCCTCGGCTGAAGCCTCCGGGGGGGTTCGGAAGCCGCGTGGAGAGCTCGGAGTCGCAATGCTAAAGCAGGAAGCGCTGGACGAGCACAAAGCAAGGCTTAAAAAAACGACACTTTACCCAGTGGATCCCAGGCGTTTCGACACTACAGGTAACCAGCATTGGTCCTTTTAGTTGCCAAAAGCAAGAATTCCCTTGGTTGCGTAAGGTAAATGGAACTTTTCTTGCTTATTTGAGGCAACAACAAAAATCCCTTGGTCAACTGCACAGGTACATGGAATTAGATTGAGGCCCAACTCAGGAACAGCTGATTGAGACTCCATCTGAGGAACAGCTGCAGATTCGCCACGCCTTTGACTGCATCGCCGGGGATATGCCGGGGACGCTGCTGCCGCTGCTGCCGCCGGGGAGCACCGTGTGGGTCTACGGGCGCCTGCAAGGGGCGCTCAGCGGCATTGACCCTGTGGAGCTCATGTACCGCCAGAAGCGCCTGGAAAAAATGAATCATGTTGTGGACTTTGTTTGGGGGGAACCCTTTGCTTTGTTCGCTGGTTGAAACGGGGCCGATTTTAATGTTGGCCCCTTTTGGGATGTGTTTTGAAGGACCCCACAGGAAATCAACGATTTTGGGATTCGGTTCCCCCATTTGTAGACACGCCCTTAGGGACGCATCAAGATACATTTGGGTGTCAACAATGCCCCCTTTGCTGATTCTGCTGTGTAAAGCAGGTGGCTTTCTGGGATGTGCCCTTTAAGGAAGCAAACCCTGTTAAGTATAACCATAGCTTATGCGACTCATGCAGGCTTTGGTTTGAAATTCTGACTATGAGGATTTTGGGCTTGATTCTTTGTCACGCTCCCGACGCTCGCAAGCCAAGGGGTCCGACCCTTTGGGATTTTTCTCTGGAGCCATGGGTTGGGGTTTCCCTTTTCGGAGAGGCTTGCAGTTGCCCAATGTGTCAAAATAGGGTCCTCTTCTTTATCAGGCATCTAGGTGGCGGGTAGGATGGCAATACTCCTCTAGTTAGATTCAAAGTCCCATGCGTTAGGGGTTCCCTTGCTTCCCTTTGGTTATGTTGGGCTTTTTTTCCTTTTGTCTTTGATTCCCTTCATGGTTATGGAGAAAAATGCAGTGAAGTTTCTATACCAAGCGAAGCCACTTCAAAGTAATGAAGTCATGGGGATGGCTCATGTTGGTTCAAACCCCGGTTTGCCCACTTGCCCGAAGCGAGTCGACCCTTTCACCTTCTGGTTTCCCAGATTCGAGTTCCCTTGGGCAACTGAGAATATGTGGGCTCACTTGTTTCAAGCAAATTGTTTCATTTGGAGGGTCGCAAGAATATTTTCCCTGTTGTCAGTTGTACCTACCCCTTTTGGTGTTGTAGAAATTGAGGGGTGTCAGGTAGTTTTAGGGTAAAAAGGGAACAGAGTCAGGTATGGAAAGTGGGTCGTACTGACGACTGAGATAGGCAATCAGCCTTTAGCTCTCCATTTGTCCATTGATTTCCCCTTCCCAGTAGACTCCAGGCGTTTCGCCACTGGGCAACACTTTCCTTTGGATGTTTCTATTGGGTTTTTTGGTACCTGCAAATAAAGCCCGTAGAGGAAGCTGTCATTCCCTGCCCATCGAACCAGTCAGCCAGTTTTTTGTGTTTCCAGTTCCCTGCTGTTTGAGCTCCACTATAGTAACCCTTCGATCCGTGTTCTTGGTTCTTCTCGGTGGTTCCCTTGGTTGCCTTTTTAGGATCCACTGCTGAAAACTGCCGCAGCCTCAGGAAGTTGGAGGGCTTCCTCCTGACCACCTCACTCTTCAAGGGCGGCTGGCTGGCCACTTTCCGGCGCTTCAAGCGCGCCGCCGGCCAGGTCTGCAAGGCTCGGGGATGTCGGTGATCCGTGTCTGTTTGCAGCTCCCCCGTGTTGGCCGGTTTTGAAGTGAAACCAAGACATTTGCCACTTGGGCATCGGCAGTCAATAGGGAGTTTGGACCGCCAAAATGGGTGTTCCTTGGGTCTCTTCATTGTTCTTGACCTGTTTTTTAGCTTTCTTTCTTTTTTTTTGGGGGAGGGTTTGGGGGGGCTGCACAAGCCTATGGCCTATGGACACAAAGAGGGTTGGACAAGCCCGCGAGCGTCTGGGTCGAAATAATTCACGCAGGGTCTGACCACCACCTTCGCCTCCGAGTTCCGAGATGTGTCCTTGGAGGACATGGGTTGGGATAAAGCCAGCCAGTGACCCGCTTCGGCCAACCTTCGGGGACGAAGGACCCACGGGCCCATGGGATGGACAACTTGAAGAAGAAAACACCTCGGGCCTCAAACATGCGGCACGTGGCAATGGGCCTGAAGTTTGGCGGGCTTCCGGTTGCTTGAAGGATTCTACAGCCCCAAGGGTCATGACCCCTCCACACCCCCGGACCCTCCAGTGGAGAAGCCCAACCCCTGAAAAGGCCTTGAAAACCACCAGACTTGACGGCAGCCATCAGCAGCCATTGGACTTCTCGAGGACATGCAGCGGGTCTATGTGCAGCACAAGGCTTCGGGCGCCACTGGCGCCAAGATCCGAGTGAGGCCGTAGGATGCGAAGACCTGCCTAGGGATTCCAGGCTCCTGGTAAAGGTAGGTAACCAAAAGAAATTCCATTTACCTCAGGGAACCAAGAGAGTTTACCTCAGGGAACCACCAAATCAGAAAACGAAAACGGACATTTGCTGGTTATCCAGTGGCGGGATCGACTGGGATCGACTGGGATAGGCGTCCAACTTGTTTGTGCGTTTGGTCGGAAATAGATGGCATTGGGTTTGGATGGGGTTCGGCCCAAAGGATCACCTATGGTCCTTACGGTTCCGATCTTTAGTCTTGGGTGTATCTTTTTCGAGGTTGGACCCCCCAACATGCTGGTTTTCCTCTTGGTTCCCCTGCAAACCCACAACAGAAATGTGAAATGTGGTTCCCTTAAACAATGCACACCCATGTCCGTAATTGGGGGGTATGTCAAAGAGGTAGCAGAACCTGTCGCAACCCTCAAGCAGTGTGGTTTGGAGTGGTTTGGATCTGGATTTGGATTTGGAAGTAAACAATTTCCTGGTCCTTGCGTGTAAATGGGAAACCCGGGGGCCTGAAGTGGGACCAATTGGGGGCAACCTTTTTGAGGAGCCCGGAGTTGGATTCGACTGAGTTCAGTTTGGTTCCATATTGATTCGCTGGTATCTTGCGATTTACCCGATGGGACACCATTTGGGCTGGCAAGGGGAAAAAGGGGCTGCGGCCGACAGCGAGAGGTAAACACTACCCTCTTTCCAACAAGCATGGAAGTGGACAGGGGGGGATTCGGAACACTACCGTCCTTGTTCAAGGCCCCTCATCAACTTCCATGATTGCTTGAAAAGGGTACCTCCAGATTGAAACACGGTGTGTGTGTGTGTGTGTGCGCGCGTGTGTGAGAGTGTGCGCATGTGCGTGTGTGTGTGTGTGTGTGTGTGTGACCTTTCCCAGTGATTCCATGTACATGCAGAGTAGGTAACCAAGTAAAGCAAAAACACGCAGTTGGTTGCCTATTATTGTGGTTATTGGACTCCACTCAGTTTATGTAGCTATTCGTTGACCATTGTCCGACCCTATACTGGTCTATGCCCGACCTGTCCAACCGAGGCCAAGTGGCACCTTGCAAAAGGGGTTGTGTGGTTCCTCCAAAAGCGCTGGGGAAAAATAAATATTTCAATCATGCGGCCCAACGCAATCTGTGATTTCTGTGTAGAAGATGCGGCACAAACCCGGGAATCTGTGTGCTTCCCGAGCAGTATGGAGACAGGAGATGCATCTCGAATCCTCCGCGTAAAACATTGAAAGGGCCCCTCCCCCACACGCCCCTCCAGGAGCCAGCAGTGCCATGATTTAGTGCTGGGAGCCAGTGGCTACCAGTGACTGGTCGACAACCTTTCCATGGCTTCCTTACTGGCTTTGAACCAGTAGTAGAGATACAAGGGGGCCGACTTTGGTCCAAGTTCGTCAGCTTCCAGGGAAAGCATAGAGGGGCACCAGTATGCACCAGTCACGTTTTGCAGCCAGTTGGGGGCTGCGGATGGCTGAGGTAAAGCTGGGTAAAAGACAACCAGGCCATGGACCCCTCAAAATCTTAGTCAAAATTTGCATTTTTCACTCCTGGGGTTTGGCATTGGGTTTTGGCCTTGGGCAAACTCAGAGCTGGTCCCAAGCCCGGCTCTTTTTTTTCCTCGCAGGAGTGCCTGCAGGACCCCTGGCTCTCCGAGCCTGCCAGATCGTCGAAGGACCGGCCACCCCAAAACCCGCGGAGCCAAACCTCAAGCCGCCACGAAGAACCTTCCAAGCGTCCCCGAAGAAAAACCGCCAAACCAACAAGTGCCAAGCTCCAGAGTTCATAGAAGTTCATATGGCCATGAATTTTAGTAGGGAACCACCTCAAAAGTGATTGGTGGACATGAATTCCCACCGAATTCTGATGTCGCCATATTCTCAGAACCTCCAACCCCGCAAGGCTCAAAGTGAAAACCCGAAACCTCTCAGTCTACTCGGACCCCAGACCCTGCATTTGTCCAACCCCCACCAAGCCATCAAAACCCCAAAGCCACACCCATGAAAAAACCCGAAATCTTGCAAACCCCTTTTCCATCAGCCCCAAAAAACCGCTGGCCCGAACGGATCCGAATCTCAGGACACCCGGGAGAACCGGGAGAACCGGGAGACGCGGGAGACGGCGCCCATCGCCCGAGCAGTCCTTGTGCACCAGGTGCGAGGTCGTGCTCAGCCGGCGGGCGCCCAAGTCGGATGCCAGGAGTGCCATGTTTGAGGTTGGTTGAAAGGGAGACCAAGAGGAAAACAACCTTAAGTTGCTTTGTTTTGGAGAGGGGGGGGATCCCCCAAAAAAGAGACACCCCAGTGTAGCGCTGTTCATTGATAAGAGGTGGTTCCCTTGGATACCTACTATACAGGTGAATGGAGTCACTGGGTGTGTTTGAGGGTTCTCTCTTGCCCCTGATGCGAATCGACCGGATCTGACGAGCTCCCATTTGTTGGCCGCACAAGGTGAACCTTATACTTCTGTGTCCATTGGTCAAGTGAGGGTTTCATAGCTCAAGGAGGACAATGCCTCGTGTTCTTCCAGAAGTTTGGTCAATCATTCCAGTCTATGATTGGGCAAATCATCACTAAGTATCCCATGTTTTTGAGGAACAACTCTTTTTGAAGTTGACTCATTTAAATTTGGGTGCCTTGGAGGATGCATTATGTTTTTTTTTTTTTTTTTCAGTTTGTGGTTCCGATTGGTGAGGGAACATTGTTGTGTGGGTCCCTAGGATCCTAGGTGCTGCGTTTTGAGTTCTCAAGGCTACTTCTAAAAGGATAGACTGCGTTAGGCCACCATTTGGGTAGGCTGGAGGATGTCACGGATAGACTCTGAGTGTAAGTTGCTATGGCAAGCTGGTTTGGAGGTGAAACGAGCACACCGATTCGTGAAGAAGGTCCTTTACTTGCGGATCCCTTATTTCCGGCGTTGGAATTCTTGGAACTGTGTGAGGCATTCCAGCGTTCCACGGTTGTGGAAAGCTGGGTTTAAGGGCCTTTTTGCAGGGATATCGAGGGAACCTCCTCTGCAACGACAAAGTCGTTGGGATGGCTTTGGCATCTCAGGACTGATTGGCCATACGACATTCTGACATTGGGGAGGGGCAACGCGGCCCCTGGCGGCCCCTGGAATTTGATCGATCCACTTTTTGGAGGGAGGGCCAAACAATTGAAGGGTAAGCTTGGGCTCACTCACGGCGGATCTCTCCATGACCCTGTTGTTTTCAGGTCCTGTTTCCGCGAACTGCATTAGAAACGGTTAGTCTGGCTGGGCCAACTTTTACTTGGGGGCCTCAGAAGCAAGCTACGGTTAAGATTGCCAACCATTTACAAATCGGCCAAACGCCCAAGTGCCATTCGGCATATTTTCGGGTTCTGCAGAAGCGCCGGCAAAGGTTGAAGTTTCCCTGAAGAATGGTTCCCTACCTCAGGGAACAATATTTTAGGCTTCAACCACCGAAGCCTGTGGCTCATACCATACGGGATTGCTGGCATCGTCCCTCTTGAGCCCTAGGCAGCCAACGGAGCAACGGCCAAAATGAGTCTTAGGCACCACCACCCCCAAAAAGAAGAGTGCCCAAAACCACCCACCCTGAGCCCAAAACCACTCACGCCACATGGGTGTGGTTGTTTTTGTCGGAGCCCTTTCTGGGTTTTGTGTTTTTCGGAAATCAAAAGGAAAGCCGAACCCTTTGCAGAAACCGAAGCGATTGGACAAATGGGGCCCGTAGTGTCTCGTTCTGTTTTGATCGTTTTCGAGGCCCTGGAACGAAATAAATGCGCAAACGAGGTTCAAAGCCAGCAGCGATCAATGGCTCACAATGCAGTGCCGGCCCCAGTTGTTTCGGCCCGGGCAAAGCGAAGTTTAACCAAGGAAGCTAAGAAGGCGGTGGTATGGAGTATGCGATGTTACTCGGACGTAAGGCCTAACCGGACCATCAAAATTGAAGGGAAACCAAACATGGAAGTGCACAAACCCCCTCTCTCCAAGAGGGCAGTAATCTTTCTGAAGGGGTTTGTGCGCTTTCATGCTAGTCGGTGGGAGGGAAAGCCAGAGTTGTTGTTCCAAGATGAAAGTGAACAAGTACCTTGGCCCAAGCCTCGTTTTCACTGAGCACTTGGGAAAGAACCCAAGGTGTTTGCAACCAGTGTAGCAGTCGTACGCGTGCCACATTTGCCATGCCAAATGGTACTTGCCCAAGCTAGACGGAAGGATTTGACCAGATAGGATCGTCACGTTTGCATTGTTAATTGTTGGGTGTCTCAATTCAGCTTGAGCAGTGCTGCAAGAGCCCACCAGGACAACTCTGCAAACACGCGGCAGTCCAGAGTCCAGACTCAAGTGCAAAGCAGTCTTTAAAACAAGTCTGTCCAAGAGGAATGAAGGGACAGCACCTTGGAAAGGATGGGCACATGTTGTTTTGTCTTTCGGCGGCAGCTGCAGGTCCAGATATCTTGCTGGAAAGGAGTTTCTTTCTCCAACCCCAGTCCGAACGAAGCCAGCATGTACCAGATGTTCCGAGGCCATAGGCAATGTGCAGCAACTTCTAGCGGGCAGAACTGCCCGTGGACCCAGCGGCCGGCTGGACTGGAGCGCCGCAGCTTTCGGCCCCTCCTTTCCCAAGCTTTCCCGATGCAAGGGGCCGACCCCCACCCATCTCCCAAGTACATCTCGCGGCTGAAGGCATGTTGGAACCAGGACTGACCTATCACGAGACTCTGTTTAGGGACCTCCCAACGTGGTTTCTGGGCAAGCCCACCAAACCAACAAAAGGGAGCCAAGGGCAAGCCATGCACCTCTCAGACCAGCGGAGTCCCGTACTTGGGTCTCCAAGTGTCAGGTTTTGCCGTCGCCGAATCCAAAAAGCCCCGCGCTGCCTACGGGCCTTTGCTGAAAGCCCATGTGGCTGTGGGTCAAAGCCCAGGAATTCCCCGGTGAACATGAAAATAGGTGGAAATCAAATGGATCATCCACCCCTA